CAAGTTTAATACTACATAATTTGGGGCCAACAGTGTGGTGTAGCACGTTAAGCCACTGCCTGCAATGCCAACATCCCACACAGGTTTTGGCTTGAGTTTTGGTCGCTCTTTCTGACCCAGCTCCCTGCTAATGTGGCTGGTGAAGCAGCAAAAGACGGCCCAGGAACATGGGCCCTGCTACCTGTGTGGGAGACCTGGAGTTTCTGGATCTTGGCTTGGGCCTGGCCTGGCTCTGGTTACTGGGACCACTTAGGGAGTGAATCAGCATATGGAAATTTCTCTTTATGTCTCTTTTCTCTCTGTAATTCTGGCTTTCAAGTAAAGAATAAATATTTATTTTTTAAATGAAAACACACAAAGATGTTGCTGTTTAATCAACAGGATTGGTTCCATCAAATGAATGGTTTGTGTATGCGCATGAATGTAATACATTTCTGCTGATCAAAACCTGGAATAAATTAGGGAATGATCATGTTGGTCTACACTGAGATGCAGAATTCCTAATACAGCAGTGCCACATAGAAAATGAATGTGAATATATTCCCCAAGGTGAACTAGGACCTAAATGAACCAAAGCAGCTACTCATTATGTTATATATACATATGACATATATATATTTTTAAAGATTTATTTTTTTAGTTTTATTGAAAAGTCAGATATAAAGATGGAGGAGAAACAGGGAGGAAGATCTTCTGTCCACTGATTCATTCCCCAAGTGGCCACAATGGCCGGAACTGTGCCAATCCGAAGCCAGGAGCCAGGAGTCTCTTCCAGGTCTTCTACGTGGGTCCAGGGTCCCAAGGGTTTGGGCCAATTTTGACTGCTTTCCCAGGCCACAAGCAGGCAGCTGGATGGGAAGTGGGGCAGAGGGGACAAACCACTGCCCATATGAGATCCTGGCATATGCAAGGCGAGGACTTTAGCCTATAGGCTGCCATGCCAGCCCTACATCATATATTTTTAAACAGCTTATCAAATACCCAAACCAACATGTTTGCGATGGCTAATTTTATATGCCAATTTGACTGTGCTGAGGACTGCCCAAATAGCTAGTAAAACATTTCTAGGCACATCTGTGAAGGTGTTTCTGGAAGACATGTGCATTTAAATCAACGGACTGAGTCAAATCACTCGACTCACTGAGGGCTTGAACAGGATTCAAACACAGAAAGGCACATCTGCTCTCTGCTTGAGATGAGATGTTCCCAGCCCTTGGATGTCAGTGCTCCTGGACCCTGGGCATTCAGACTTACACCTGAACTCACACCACCAGCTCCCCTGCTTCAGGTCTTCAGAGTCAGACTGAGTTACACCCAAGTCCTTCTCACACTGGGACCACTGGGCCCCAAGCCTCCCGTGTCTAGTTGCAGAATGCACAGCTGGAGTGGCTGCACTTAACAGCTGGCATAAACTGTGACATAAGGAGGGCTCTTGTAGTGGCAGACCCAGGGGGAAGCAGTGATGCCCACCTCTACTTAGGAAAATAGGAAATCAGTCCAGCAGTGTCTCTTCAAAGAAATTACAGAAACCGACACAATCACTGAGGACATGCAGGTTGTCATTCAGCTCCATCTGCCTGTTCAGAAGGCAGATATGTGACAATGACAGCAGATTGTCATCAACTTGACCAGATTGTGACTCCAGCTGTAGATTCCATACGAGATGAAGTTTGATTGCTCGAGAAGATTAGCATCTCTATAGCACCTGCTTTGTAGCTATTAACCTAGAAAACACGTTTTTCTTGTCTCTCCATAAACTCTTCTAAAAACAACTTGCTGTCAGTTGGTAAAACCAGTAACAAACCTTCTGTGTCCTGCCCCAGATGATGGCTGAATTCACAGACATCTCAAGTGCTTTCATTTCAGGAAGACACCACATACCGTTGCTCCATCACATTGATTATATGATGTGGGTTCGACCCCGTGAGTGAAAACAAGCAACTGTCTGGGGGTTATGGGTAAGATACTAAGTGGACCAGTAAGAATCTTATAGCTCTGTGAGATTTCTAGGCACCCAGTATTGTTGGGCATGTCAAGGAATCCCTTCTAAAATTAACAGTGTTTTATTGCATGCAGCCCATCCTATAACCAAGAAGCACAAGCTCTTGTACAAGCACAAGGTCTAGCCTCTTTGAATATTGGCAGAAAGCATTCCTAGTTTCTCTGTTACTCTGACTCATCTGCCAAGAAACATGCCACGCTGTGGGCTCAGAGTCTGACACAGCAAGGTGTGGGGAGCCGGGAGCTGAGCCCGCTCTGGGAATGAGAGGGGCTGTCGCAAGATGGAGGCCGGGCTCAGGGCCAGGAGGCGGAGTTGGTCTCGCCAGCAGGTAAACAAGAAGTCACAGGGATAGGCTAATGCCCCCACTGCAATTATGTCATTACTACTGGCCTATCACGCAGCACCAAGTGGACCCACGGGGAGAAGTAATTGGTGGAGAATGATATAAAAGTAGCTGGAAAAGCTAGGTAGAGACGACGAGGGACGGACGGACGACGGAAGGACGGGATGGATGGGCAGACAGACAGCGACGAGAAGAAAGACTGGGGAAAGAATGACACACAGAACGGGAAGAATGGGGCAGCAGAGATGGGAAGAAGGGTTAAGATCTTCGGGTGGAAAAGCTAGGTGTAAGCTGCATAAGAGGGATACATACAGAAGCAATAAACACAGTACAGAGACAAGAACAGAGAAATGCAGCAGAAAGTACGGGAAGAAACGTGGGAAGAAGGGTGGCGGAAAGAGGGCTGGGGAAGCGGGGAGGAAAGCTTAGACCAATGGGGACAGGAGCAGCAGAGATAAGGATTTAAACACAGCTGCTTTTGGCAGTGAGGGGTCCGGTTGTGGTTCTGGCTTTCCCGGACCTTCAAGAGCGTGCCTCATCGTTTTAGTGTCACCACTACTGGACAGTGGCGACAGCAAGGCTCTGCAACAGGCCCTGACTTCAGGAGGTGACCTCCAGACGTGGCCCATGGTTTCACAGATGCAGCTCTGCCTGAGTGTCAGAGGCGGACAGGCACACTGTCGAGCCTTGAGGCCCCATGGAGAAGCACAGCACATGCCTGTGGAAACTTGGACCAAGGCCATCCTGCCATCTTGGCCTGCTGCTACTGGTTCTTCAGAGGGACTGAGTGCTTGACCACAGTCTCCAAACTTGTATGCAAACTGGCTGCCCACACGAATGGCATATTAGATGAAACAATATCCCATTGACTTGGAAGATATGACAGCCATGCTTTGGCCTCTTTTTTTTTTTTAAGATTTATTTTCACTGCAAAGTCAGATATACAGAGAGGAGGAAAGACAGAGAGGAGGAAAGACAGAGAGGAAGGTCTTTTGTCCGATGACTCACTCCCCAAGTGAGCACAATGGCCAGAGCTGCACCGATCCGAAGTCAGGAGCCTGGAGCCTTTTCCAGGTCTCCCACACAGGGCAGGGTCCCAAGGCTTTGGGCTGCCCTCAACTGCTTTCCCAGGCCACAAACAGGGAGCTGGATGGGAAGTGGAGTTGCTGGGATTAGAACCAGCACCCATAAGCATTCAAGGCGAGGACTTTAACCACTAGGCCATCACATTGGGCCCTCTTTGGTCTTTTAATGCCTTGGAATGAATAAGCAAAAAAAGGAGCTACAGTCTTGGCTAGGGCTACCAAATATGATTATCAAGGAGAAAGGTAAGCATGAGTGTGTATGTCCGGGATAAAGCAGATTCCTTAATATGGCTCTCAGTACTATCCGATTGTGTCACAACGACCTTGGAAAACTTTAACTACCAAAGCAGATAGCATTATAAATATCCCACTCTCCACGAATGAAGGCTTCAATTAGCCTGCCAGAGGAAGAACCAAAAGCAGCCGACATGTTTCCCGACGACAAACTAACACATGACAGCGGAAGATAGCTATAACTACTTACTATGACCACACACCCAATGTTGCTTGTATATTGTATATCATATGCTTTACATATAGAGAGGACTGTCATGTTTTCTCTTTGCAAAAATGTGTGCATATCACACTGTATGAGATGCATATGCCACACATAGATTAAGAAAATACGTCTTCTGAGAGACTGCAGGAAAGACATTATTTACTTCCCAGTTATGGAGACCTCTTCTTGTATAAATATAAGAATTTATATTCAGCTGTGACATTTAGATGTGGTTTTGGAAGGTGCTCATTTGCTGCTATTCATTATTCTGATAGGAAAATAAAACTCACCAATTCCACATTCCTCTTTTCTAGTATTCCCTTAGCTTGTAACATAGGATGTATTGACTTAGCAGTATGAAAGCTCTCTCATTTTACATCATGCTATTTGAGTCATGGCATACCAGAAAGAGTGAACATCACTGAGATGTTACCACTTCTGGAGAAGGGATCAGTATATTTCATTAGTGGGTAGGATAATAGTATCATATTATGTAACATTTTTACCATATATTTGGATACTAATTTTTTCAGGATATTTGTGTTAGTGTCAATTTGGAAAAAGGGGTTCTTAAGATCGATTGTCATTGTAACTGGGTTAAAGGCTAGCCCAACAGCTGGTGAGACATGTCTGGTTCTGTTTATGAGGGTGTTTCCTGAAGAGATTAATAAAAACAGAAAACGACAGATTGAGTCTGAAAGATTATCCTTTTCCAGGCAAAAGGCGATCATCCAAGCTGCAAAGGGCAGGAACAAAAAACCAGAAGGTGGACGGAGAGGGTCAACTTCCTGTCTGCTCAAGCTGGGACATCATGTCCTCCTGCCCCTGGACATTGGCGCTGTGCAGACTGCTGGACTTTGGGCTTGAGTGACGCCCTGGCCATCAGGCCTCTGGATGCACAATGTACTCCCACAAGCTTTTGCAGCCTCCCAGCTTCTACAGAGCAGACTACAGGGTCTCTTGGCCTCCATAACTGCATGAGTCAGTTCCCACAACAAGGTTCTTAGAATCTCTTTTTGATTTCTTACTCTGGAGAAACTTAATGCTTCTATTACACATATCTCAGCCTACCTTTAATATCTGCTGCACTTTGGTTTCTACTGAATGAGCCTGGAATTTCTTCAACGGTTCCATTCTGTATGAATTAGCAAACTTTAGTTTTGCCAGGGCCGTCTTCCATTCTTTACCTATATCAGCAATTGAGTCATCAAATGGAGGTTCAACATACTGAACATCATGGAAAGATTCTCTCAGTCTTTCCTTTAATATCTGTGCATACTGAAGGGGGAGAGAATGCGGAGAGAGAGAGAGAGAGAGAGAGAGAGAGAGAGAGGTTTTAGATTGTAAAATGCAATTTCATATTAAACAGGCCTGGTAGAGGTACAGTGGGGCAGAGCTGAACAAACAAAAGCCTGGGAATTTGTTAGAATGAACTTCTATGTACTTACCAAATTCAAGATTTGCTCTTAACTGTCAATTGGCAAACAAAATCTTAAAAATTCTGCCTATCTTCTTATTTATTCACATGGAGAAACAAACATAGAAATTTCCATGCATACATACACGGGAAATCCAAAAGAACTAGATAGAAGAGTGACTTCCGAAGAGGGATACAAGAAAATCTTTCAGCTCCCTACCCTGAGGCCATGAAACTACTGTCCATTATCCTCTTTAAAATTCTTTATGATTCTATTTATCTTCAAAAATACAATTATTCAAGTAGTATATTTATAAATGTTAGGTTGAAAAATATAAAAATTTTTTATTTGGAATATGCATCAGTTAATTTTTGACATGCAATATTCATTCTATGGCATCCAACATACATTAATGAAATATTTCGAGCCTAATGTGTTCTTGATTAGTTCTCTAAATTCTTTAGGTGTCATTTTCATAACAGCCAGGAATTTCTTTTTCTTAGCTAAACTTTCCTAGCTAACTTCTAGATGTATGCTGAATGGAAATGGTGAAAATGGGCATCTTTGATTTTTCCCTCATGTTAGAAGGGAAAGCTTTCATTTTTTCCCTATGGAATATAATGCTTGTTGCATAACTTCCAAATATAGCTTTTATAATATTGAGGTAGTTTCTTTCTAGTACTGGATTGTTGAGTATATCTATTTTTCATTTCGGAGTGTTGAATCTTGATCAATGCTTTTTCTTTATCAATTGACATGACCAAGTGGTTTAGTCCTTCACTCTGTTTATGTGGTGACTACATTCATTTTCATATGTTGAACCATGCTTGCATTGCAAGAATAAATCTCACTTGATCACGTTGTATGATCTTTTGAATATAAGTGATCAATTCAGTGAGAATTTCAGCATCAATATTCATAGAAGATATTGGCATGCAGTATTTTTCTTGAAGAGTTATTTAATTTTTATTGGAAAGTCAGATATATAGAGAACAGAGAACATCTTCTGTCCCTAACCCTAACCCTAACCCCAAGCAGCCACAATGGCTGGAGCTGAGCTCGATCTGAAGCCAGGAGCCTGGAACCTCTTCCGACTTTCCCATGCAGATGCAGGGTCCCAAGGCTTTGGGCCATTCTCAACTGCTTTGCCAAGCCACAAGCAGGGAGCTGGCTGGGAAGCAGAGCTATTGGGATTAGAACTAGTGCATACATGGGATCCTGACACGTGCAAGGTGAGGGCTTTAGTGCTAGACTACCGTGCTGGGCCCCTGCAGTTTTATTTTTTTAAAGATTTATTTATTTATGGGCCTGGCATTGTAGCCTAGTGCCTAAAGTCCCTGCCTTGCATTATCTATGATCTCATGTGGGCAGCGGTTCATAACCTCCACTTCTTTTCCAGCTCCATGCCTACAGCCTGGGAAAGCACCAGAGGATGGTCCAAGTCCTTGGGACCCTGCACCCATGTAGGAGACCCAGAAGAAGCTCATGACTCCTGGCTCCAGATCAGCTCAGCTCTGACCATTGCGGCCACATGGGGAATGAGCCATCCAACACATCCAACAGAATGTATTTCTTTTTGTATTTCCTCTCTGTATATCTGCCTTTCCGGTAAAAAATAAATAAATCTTTAAAAAAAAAATGAGTTAGGTGTTTGTGAACAAATTTGCTTGGTGGATTTTCCTCATAAACCTTCTATAAAACAGCAATAATTTAATTACTCATGCATCCAACTCTCACCATAAATGTGATTTTTTTTTATTATTTATCAATCTTAACTGAATCTATGTTGCTCTGATAGGGGCTTTCAATCTGATGTGTTAATCTTCTCAGTGGCTTTGCAAGATACTATTTAGATGTCGTAGTATAATAATACACATTTAGGATGAATCTGTATCATGCACAATGTTTTCATAAGACAGCTATTTCATGAACTTTTTGAAGATACCACATTTCAGAGAATCTTCTCTGATCAAGGTTTAATTTTTCAATACAATTTATGAAGCTTCTTGAGTTCCTTGGGTCTGGATGTGTGTATCTTTTCCAAGGTTTGTAGACTTATTTTCCAAAAACTACTTTGGTGAATAGACCCTTTTCCCTCCCCTCGCCCACGTTAATGATTTATTTACTCACTTGAAAGTTTTACACAGCAAAAGAAGAGACAGAGGTATTTTTCCACTTGCTGACCCATTCCCCAGCTGGTACAACAGCAAGGCCTGGGCCAGCCCAAAGCCAGCAGCCTGGAACTGCACCTGGTCTGCTGCATGTGCAGCAGGGGACAGGGTTCTGGCTGTCTTCTCTTCCTGCGCATGTGCGCATCTGGGGCTCTAACTGGCACTCAGACCCGGTGAGCTAGTGTTGCAGCTGGTGGTGCAACTTATCGTGCCACGATGCTGGCCCCTTTTTATTCAGTTTTTCACTCATATCTGGATATTATCCTAATTTCATAGAAGTGTCTGCATTTTCTTGTGTCGCTAAACTTTCTTACAATGATGATTTTGAATTCCTTTTTTAGGCAATAAATCTCTCAGTATGTTAGCAGAGTGTTGCTTTTATTCAGACTTTTGTATGTTACTTTGGGTATTCAGGTTTCCTCTTTTCCTGTTTTATTTTTGTGCATCTGGTCTTTAACAATTGTATAGAATGACTTTCATAGCAAACCACTTTGTTTTGGCAATATACCCTCAGGTGTCAATCATGTACTCTTCATTGGCTTTGGTTACAGGTGGGTGTTTCATTTTGGTGTTTGTGCAGTTGTAGTCAACATTTGCAATGTTTTTGAACATCTCGGTGGCCTAGACTCAAGGAATATGGGATTGCACAGCTGGCTGGGACACAATTCACAAGCTTTGGCCAGAGCACACCCAGTTGGGTGGGGCACTACAGACAAGGCATGGTGGATACCTGTCGGTTTCTGAGAAACTTGTGGGTATGGAGCTGTTTTGGGGGGCCTGGAGTGGAGTGATAGCAGCTGTGCAGGCTGTACCAGTAGGCCCAGATGGTGCACTTGGCAATGTCCGAGTGCACCAAGGGAAACTCCTGGGGGCCCATGTACTTCTTGTGGCTGCAAGGGGACGGGCAGAGATTCTTTGACATTTCCCAAGAGTGTAGCTGGGCTGAGCACCCCAGGCTGCTTTGCTCATTTCTGGGTTCCAATATGGGTGGTGGGATTACCCGTCTAATACCGAATGTCTCTTCAGGTGGAGCTACTGAGGCTGGTTGGCTGCCTGCTTCTGAGGCAGCAAGACAGTGGATGGGCCACTTGCCTTTCATGGACTAATGGTTGGTGTGAACTGCCATTCTGCTTCCTGGAACCACGCATATGATTAGGCTGTGCTGCTCAGGAATGGCTGCCTTGCCGTGCCACCCCCCCCAATCCCCCAGCCAGCCATTCTGTTTCCTAGGGTCCTCAGTGGATACAACAATGCAAGGCAGTTTATTCCGATGCTTCCTGCAGCCATAAGGGTGAGCTTCACTTGGGAGCTGGGTCAGTTAACATACTGGGGGAAGTTTACTGCTTCATAGTGCCACACATGGGCAAGATCTCATAATAGCACTGCAGCAGAAATCCGAGTGTAGGAGGACAAGTCATGAGCTGGTTTCTTTATTTTAAAAAGATTTATCTTAATTAGAAAGGCAGATTTAAAGAGGGTAGGAGAGAAAGAGAGGCCTTCCACCCGCTGCTTCTCTCCCCAGATTACTGCAATGGAAGAGCTGAGCTAATCCAAAGCCAGGAGCTTCTTCTGGGTTTCCCACATAGATGCAGGGTTCCAAGGACTTGGGCAATACTCCACTGTTTTCCCAGGCCATTACCAGGGAGCTAGATGGGAAGTGGAGCAGCCAGGACATGAGTTAGTGCTCATATTGGATGCTGGCACTTGAAGATGGAGGGTTAGCTTGCTGAGCCACAGCACCAGCCCCGAGCTGGTTTCTTTCTCTAGTGGTAATGCAGTGATTTTTCCTGCAACAAATTGGACTCAGGGCCTAAGTAAACTCTAGGTTTCTCTAGCAAGAAAAGCTTTGTGTGTTCATGATGCTAACAGGGACTAACAAGGTTAGGGTGAGGGAAGTTTCCCAGCTCAGCACTGATCTTCAGACAGGATGTCAGGTTCTGTAGTTTCCTTCTTTATAAGCCATCACGTGTCTCCTTGCTCTTCAATATGTCTGCCCCAGGCCCCATCTCCATCACACACCACACTTCTCACTTTAACCAGCTAATGATTATTCTTTGCAGTCGTTCTTCATTATGAAGGAAAGCACTGCAGGAACTTTCCTTCAGACATCTGACTGACTCCAGATTTCAACGGAGCATTTTCCATGAGTTAATTTTCTGTTCTTTGTGTATCAGGTATGGCCACTACAGATTTTGATCTAGAAGTAATCAAACTCACTTTCAACTATCGCATTACTTCATGGCTTGTAATAGTAACTTGTAATAACCAAAAATAAAAGTGGTAACTTCCAGAAATAAAATGGAAACATGCAACATCATTACTGTCATTGTTTCATGTAAGCATACATAATGTAAATGATAAACATATTTAACTGAATGTCATGGCTATCATTAACTGCTATCTGTTGAATCAAGAACACAAAAATATAGTCTTTTCTTAACAATATTCCTTTCTTTAAATATATGTAAGTTACTAATTAATATTACTTTCCTTCTATTTAATGAAGATCTGTTAACATTCTCTGCATGCCAGGTTTAACAGTAATTCCCTCAATTTTTCTGTGGACACATTCTAGTTCTTTCATATTTGAAGATAACTTTTTTAAAAAATAATTTACTTATTAATTTTTATTGGGAAGGCAGACTTAAAGATATAAGGGTAGACAGAGAAAGATTGTTCATCTGCCAGT